CTGTCACGCCTCGGTCAGTCCTGTCACACAGGACATTATGTTATAAAAATGTAATATTTGAGGAAATATTGATAATTAATCTCTGTAACTGTGTAGATGAAGGTTGGAGTATATATCCACTACTATGTTTTTGAAAAAATCTCCTATGCAAAGGCAGTTTTTTTACAACTATATGAGTGTCTGGCGGGTATTCTGTGATTTTGTGTACTACAGTTGACCGAAAAGTTGCTTATAATCCTTATAGAAATTACAAAACCATGTTAGATACAATCAGGGACATGTGACCTCCATATGACTCAACGTTCAGATTTAAGAATAAGATATGTTTTTCACCCAAGATTTTTACAAGTGGAAATGTACGTTTCTGGTAGAATGTCCCTTAAACACTGGAGAATATATGCTATTGTGTGCAGCTACAGATATAGATTATATAGATGAACCCTGCTGTTACTCCTACTCTGTGTTTGTGGTCAAACTGACCCGCATTGGTTTCCATGCAACTTGCCAAAAATCGACACTATGAAAAACACTGAAGACTCACGTAAAAATAAAAACTTTGAGTCATGTATTTTATATTTTAGTGTTTGACAAGCTACAATAAAGTTTTTCTGTTTTTTATCTGATTCTTTAGTGTGTGTTTTGTTTTGTTTTTATTTTTGGCAAATTGCTTGAAAACCAATGAGTCTATTTGACCCCAAAACCAACGCTGTAACAAAATTTGTACAGCCTTTCCAAAATACATCTATGTGTCAGAACTTTGCATGTACATTCATGACCCTAAATAAAAAATATACACCAAATTTCAAGAAGAAATAACCAGTTTAACTGGTATTTCAAGCTATTAAAAAATCAATTGTGGGTCAATTTGACCTGCAACACAAAAGTCATAACAAAACGTGTACCGCCTTTCCAAAACACATTTATGTGTCGACACTTTGCATGAACATTCATGACCCTAAATGAGAAGTTGTCACCACATTTTAAGACTAAATAAAAAGTTTAAACAGTATTTCAAGCAAATCAAATGCGAGTCAAACGTGTGTGGTGCTGAGATGACCAGAAGATGGCGCTCTCAAACACAAAACAGCTCTGTTTGGTGGATCTAGTTGGACACACAAGGCTTCATGCTCTTACACCAACATGCACTTGAAATTTCTGTCTTATCAAGAAGGCTTCAAGAAAATGAGAGACAGGAGGCTCAGTGCAGACAGACGAGTGTTTCTGCAGTCATCTGTGAGCGTCTCCTGGGGTTTGTGTGACGGATCTAATTCAGCACAATCAGCACAAACGCTCTGCCAGAGAGTGATGTCAATGCAGGTGAAAGCATGTCAGCTCCCTCTGCTGCACATCTGCTAATGCATTTCTCTACAGTAAACAACAAATGTGTTCTGAGAACGTTTGGCTAACGTTCACATTTAGTTATGAACTCTATATCTCTGAATGTTCTCTGAATGTTCAAAACATGTTGTTTTTTTAAATGTTTGTTTAAAACTAAAAACATTCGATTAGTGCTGTCAAACGATTAATCGCGATTAATCGCATCCAAAATAAAAGTTTTTGTTTACATAATATATGAGTGTGTACTGTGTATATTTATTATGTATATATAAATACACACACATGCATGTATATATTTAAGAGAAATATGTTATGTTTATATATTTATAGTAATATAAACGCATATAGTATATACATGTAAATATTTTCAAAATATATACTGTATGTGTGTGTATTTATATATACATGATAAATATACACAGAACAGAACACACACATATTATGCAAACAAAAACTTTTATTTTGGATGCGATTAATCACG